AGCATAAACTCCATCTGAAAATAATTTTCAGCCTGAAAGACTTCCAGAACTACACATTCAAATCACGTGACCTATGTGGCATTTCTATGAACAAATAAAGACTTCTTCGTATTTCAACGGGGCACGGATTGCCTTGTCGTCCAAAGCGCCACAATTCGCTGTGTAGAGTTCCGTCTTTTTAGCGTGCCAGAAACATGACCTCGTGAGTTTGAATCCCATATTGGCCCTGATTACGTTTCCAGGAGACCGCCTCCGTGGTCTAATGGTAGAGCGTCCGCCCGGAGAGCGGAAGGTCCGGGGTTCGATCCCCAGCCGCGTCATACCAAAAGACTTTAAAAGATGGTACTTGTTGTAACCCTGTCTGGCGCTCGGCATTAAGGGGCTAAAACAAGGTCTGGTCGGCTCGGAGTCAGTATACTGTGTCTGAGTGGGGTATTCATGTTAAACTGCGGCATGGTATCTCAGTGAGCTAGCACTATAAATCGGCATCTGTCCGGACTAGTACAAGCAGCCACACACACACACACACACACACACACACATACACGTGCATGCACGTCGCTATAAAAGTGCAATGATCTTGGACGCGACGTTAAACCCCATTTCACCTCACCTCACCCGTTTCCAGGTGTGTCAGCACCCTATCCATTCCCGTGGGTTGTTTAGAAGTTGTTTGACTAAGGTTACATCAAGGCTTCAGGGAAGCTTTCAAAAGGTTTTAGGGTAGTTATGTGGAGGACATTTCCAAATTTAAGTAATCAGTGAAAAAAAATATGAAATTCCCTATTTGACTTGGACCATATGTTCTCGTATGTTTAGATGAACTTGCCCTTGGATGTCTTTGTAACGGGTGCCACCGGTGGTGCAGGAAACGTTTACCGTTTGGCGAGTACATAGTATCATGATAGTGACGCATGGACACGTGATCATGATGTAGACGAAATCGTGCAGTCGACTCTGCTTTTGGCGATGATTCCTGTGATTGTGTGTGTTGGGGATTGTCGCTTTTATTTCACGCAAGTGGAAAGCGTTCACGAGCTTCATCAATCGGGCTTTCCTCCCCAACATATGGACACGCTGTGAAATACATAACCGTAATACTGTTCAAAGAGGCGATAAAACCCAACTCACCCACATTATTTCACGCGTTAATCACACATTCACAAAAGCGCATGTGTTCACGTCATATTAGTACAGCCACGCACAGAAGCAAATACCCCTTATGGAGAACCAATCTGCAATCTGTTCGTACCACTGGTCCCTTAGCCTTGTTTGTCAACAAGGCCATCGATTACCTTGATCTATGTCCCAGGCTGCAACACCAGAGTAACCAAGGATCAGCCAAGGAAGCCGGCATTCATATATCCCGGGAGTCGTGACCTTGTTCTTGTATGGTATGTGGTCGTTTTATGGACACGTTACATTTACATGATAGTAAGCGGCATTAAATCCTAACCTCGCCGACATGCACACGAAACATTTGAATGCGTTCCACCAGAGTTCTGTTTCCTAACCGGTTTCTTGATCTAAGGTTTGCGGTTGTCGTAACACTGACAGCTGTGTCGCTAATTTCGCTATATGAAACTGGGCCTTTGCTAAACAAACGATTCCGTGAATTGGTATCACACCAATATCCTATCAGCCACCCGGTGTTCAGTAAACATGTATGAGTGAGTGAGTGAGTGAGTTTGGTTTTACGCCGGTTTTAGCAATATTCCAGCAATATCACGGATGGGGACACCAGAAATGGGCTTCACACATTGTACCCATATCGGGAATCGAACCCGGGTCTTCGGCGTGACGAGCGAACGCTTTAACCACTAGGCTACCCGACCGCCCCTAAACATGTATGAACTTCATCACGTCTATTTAAAAATTATTTACGATATTCTTAACCTCAGCGTGTTTAATTTTCAACATGCCGCTTCTTGTTCTTCTATACGTGCTGACCCACAACGTAACCTGTGTGGTTAATACGGAGTTAGTTTCCGTATTATAAATATCATATAAAAATGTATTGCACGACCCTTTGCCATTATACATATTTCTTTTTCCTAATATATAATATGTATATAATTCACGGAAATACATTCCGCTAACAATAATGTTAAAGATTTACGTATATTTGAGTGAACCGTCCCATTGATCATATACTGTAGTGTGTCGTCACAAATGATTGGCAGCCATGTTTGTCTACAGAATCACCCACACACAAGCGACCCCTATCGGAACTTATTGGGGACGTTAGTCAATAGTTTGTTCAGCAAGCAGACATTGCATCGATGAGTGGAGCTTGAAAGTAGTACCCGCTAGTATGACCTCATTTGGTATTTATCGGGTCGTGATACCAAGTTTTTCGGTTTGGTGTTTTCGCATCGATTAGCCTATCGATTATATGATAAATAGTCTCAAACATTCAGATATAAGAACATTTGTTTTGGGTTGATTTTTCAAATATACAAGAGTGAACTTTGAAAACGACCTTTAAAAGAGCATATTTGTACTAAACTACCTCATGTATCTCATTCTTTGAAGAGCGCCTCCGTGGTCTTGTGGTAGAGCGTCCGCCCGGAGAGCGGAAGGTGCGGGGTTCGATCCCCGGCCGCGTCACACCAAAAGACGTTAAAAGATGGTACTTGTTGTAACCCTGTCTGGCGCTCGGCATTAAGTGGCTAAAACAAGGACTGGCCGGCTCGGAGTCAGTATACTGTGTCTGAGTGGGGTATTCATGTTCAACTGCGGCATGGTATCTCAGTGAGCTAGCACTATAAATCGGCATCAGTCCGGACTAGTACAAGCAGCCACACAAACACATACACGTACATGCACGTCGCTATATAAGTGCAATAATCTTGGACGCGACGTTAAACCCAATTTCACCTCAACTTATTCTTTGAAATTCTTCCGAAAAAAAGTTGTATGTTCTTGTTTTAAAAACCAAAACAAATTAAATTTGTAAGAGGATTTTAAAAGAAACAACACGGTTCGCGTACGAAAAACGTGATTAGTATCTCGCCACTCCTAAAAAACATGTCTGAATATTCCCCTCAGTTCTCTCAAGTAGAGGATAACGTGAGTCTGATTCCCTCTTGAAACATGGTTTGTGTTTATTTTGAACCTTGGGTATCATTCAGTAACACTCAGACGTTACTGTATGTCATGTATATCTCAAACCTGCTCCCCGAGTTACCGATAATTAGACTAAATGTTGCCAATTTTCTGTGACATAACCGATTGCCTGAGATAGATGCCCAGATCGATAACACTATAATTTGATAGCCGTGTTGCGTCTTCCCGGCGTAAATAGAGAACATGTCACGGACTGATGATAATTAAACTTTGTGCGATCCGGGAAGAACTGTAATGAATTAATCAAGTGTTAATTATTGATAAAAGGAGCGCCCGCATTAAAACGACGGCAGAAAATTAAACAGACTCAAGATCCCAAATGTAACAGACGTATTCCGCAGTGACCGACGCAAGTATTCATTAAGTGTGTTATTTATTTCATCAAAACATATAATGCATGACAAACGAACGTTTAATTCATCACCCACCGCACGTTGTGGATCAAGCTGAACGCCACCTGAGGCAAGAAGGAATTATGTTTGTAACGCAGAACGCAATAATTAACGATGCAACATTCTTCAAATGCTTTTAACCATTGAATATTCTGACACTATTAAACCTATTTAAAACTGTTTGAAAACTTCGATATTTATTTACGAACGAATTCCGCTATGAAATTGTTTTTCGACGACGATGGTAAAAGAGAATAAGGAATGAATATCCTGGAGTACCCCCGAGATGGCCATCTGCTGAGTGTTAAGCCATTAGGTAATAACTTGGTTCGTATTAAAGAGTAAAGCTGCGTTGTGTCAACGTATTTAATTATCAAAACCAAAAGGACCGTAACTCCGCATCGTAAGTCAACATGGAATCATGGGACTTGCGAAATAATATTGAAGAGATACGATGCAACATCTCTCTGAAAATAAAACAAACAACGCTTGCCTCGATAAAACGCCGGGTCTGAGGACCTTCCGAAATAAATAACACTCCGGCACTAGTTCCACGATACAAGGTACACTACCCTGTCTCGTACTGTCAATAACGGAATAGGGGCAGAGGAAAATATTTCCCAACGACGCACTCCCTCCCATCTACTAGTTATGGGGTGGCCCAAACGTCTGAGGCGCCGAGATTCGCTGAGCAGAGTTGGGCGTGAGGACCTTCCGAAAGGAATAACACTCCGGCACTAGTTCCGCGATACAAGGTACACTACATTGTCTCGTACTGTCAACAACGGAACAGGGGCAGAGGAAAATATTTCCCAACGACGCACTCCCTCCCATCTACTAGTTGTGGGGTGGCCCAAACTACTGAGGCGCCGCAATTCGCAGTGCAGAGTTGGGCGTGCGAGAAACCTATGATAGTGGGTTCGAATCCCGGTTCACCCCGATTATGTTTTTCGGTTTGCAACACCCGTGCTTGTGGGTTTCACCGAAGTGGTTAAGTCTGAGACCGGCATCACTTCGAGCTTTCCTCCCACATAGAGCTGACACGCCGTGATAGAACTGGAATACTGTTAAAAGCGGCGTTAAACCCAACTCACTCACTCACTAGTTATCTATCGGTAGAGTCCGCTCAGTCCCAGTGATGTCCTAGTTTTGAGTTTAACGGCGGGAACAGCACGCTGAGAAAGACACGTTGTTCCATATTAGTTCCAACATGAAGATGCTTCAAAAGGGGACGTTTGACAAGTTACGAAAATCATCGAGCGATACCCTAGGGAGACCTAACATATCACGTGACCAAAATACGTCACATTGGAGTTCCCTTTCTGCAAAGGTCACCACTGTCTGATGACACAACTACCAGAAACGTCAGTCAAGATAGCGCGGAAATATAAGCCTCGATGGAGAAGATTAAACAACGCTTAGAATAAGCGCTCGAAGAATATCTTCTATCATCCACTATTCTGCAACAAAACCACTCACCTTAATACAAAGTAGGTGACAATGGCTCCATGTCGTCTTGCCATGGCAAGCTGCGAAGAAAAATATCATTACATAAGTTTCAACAAAGAGAATCATATTTCATAAGTTTGCTGTTGAAGAGTAAATATGAGTCAGAAACAAACTAACATGCTGAAGGCACATTAATGAATTTCCTCAGAGATTGAAAAATGTTTGTTTTTTCTACACGGAACAATCACATTTCCTTCCTGAGTGATTGTGTGTTGATGACATGGAGAGTTAAATCTTTGTCAGTCACGAAGCTTTGAAGTAACAGAGCTATACATATACACATTTCGTGAACAATAAACCAATCTAGCTTGCTGGTTTTGCTGACGATGACCTGTCCCGTCAGGCAAGACTTATGTTTAAACTGTTTTGGTTTACGAATACGCCCGACTCCAAAAAATCTAAATGTGAAAAAAAACTAAAGGTTTGAAAAGCAGTTGGGTTTTTTATTCTGTCGACTAGAAATAAGTTAAAAAAAATTAAAAGTCATTTACTGTCGCTATCAATATAAAAAAAAAAATTAAACTCTTTAATCAAAACCTGTTAAAAGATTATCATATAAACACAACGAATTATGGCGGGAATCGCGAGATTTGAAATTGGATTGTTTTATATATTTTTCATCTTTGTCGACCTACTGACCTATTTGGTTAAAATCCGTTATCGAAATAATTCTGTCCGTCACTGCTGCAACCAGTTTCCATGAAATGAAACGCCAGATTTCAGGACAGCTGTCATGGCTGTTTGTACAACAAACAATTCACTTCACTTTGACATTAGGATTCGTTATAGTTAGTGCATTAGTTCAATATCCCTTCGGTCGTTGTGTGGTGTGTAGAATCAAGGCGATGTGGTTTGAGCTGGCCCAAATGCTAAAGCGGCATCATCCCTCTAGTTATGTAAATGTGATGAACTGTTGACGTGAACGGTTCAGATACAACACAAGTTGTGTCTGGGGTGGGACTGATACATGAATCGGCGGTGATTTGTGGCTCAAAAAGCTGGTAATGTTACAAAAGGTAAAACATGAGATGATATTTTTGAAGAAACGCTTGGAAAAAAAACAAATTGAAGAAATGTCTTTGCAACGAGATGACATTGACGTCCATTGATCATAGTCATCTGACGTCAGTGGAACAGTCAAACACTTCAACGAGAGAGAGAGAGTGAGAGAGACAGACAGAGACAGAGAGACAGAGACACACAGAGAGAGAGACAGACAGAGACAGAGAGACAGACACAGAGAGAGAGAGACAGACAGAGACAGAGAGACAGAGACACACACAGAGAGAGACAGACAGAGACAGAGACACAGAGAGAGACAGACACACAGAGAGAGAGACAGACAGAGACAGACAAACAGACAGAGACAAACAGACAGAGACACACAGAGATACAGAGAGATGGGGGTTTAACAGGGTTACACCACAGCTTCCTATTGCCATTGTATATCATGAACTCAATGAGTCACACAATTAATGCGAATGTCGCCCACTAGCCTAAAATGCGTCCTGACATCAATGCGAGAAGCCCTCTTTTCAAAATATAACACAAGTCAGTACATGACTTCACTGTTTAAGACCGTAGGATATGGGGAAGTAACAGCACCATTGACTAATGTGGTTTGTTTTCACAAACGGAACGACTCTCGCTTGACCTCTAACTTACATTAAATCACCAACAGAAAATGCAAATAATAAGAGACAACATTCTTTCCTTATTATAAATCAAACTGGGTCTCATCGGTACCGACTAGATACACACTCAAACAGATCGTCCCAGAGAGATGGTGCTATTTAGGCCGACCCAATCCTATTATTGTCTCCGAATAAGTTGGACTAAGGCACAGATGCTATTGAGAGTCGTCGTTGATGAAATCTTCTCGATCTACTGGAAATTCATCGATGTATTGCAAATGTGTGCTACGAGCATCATCCCAAACTTTTTGAACACCTGGTGTCATAATTTGTGTGTCACAGCGTTTCCTCATAAATCGACGTCGTGGAGCGTTGCTCATAATATCAATCACTGTATTGTCGGGATTATTTAGTGCAGCGTTAAAAAAAAACAACATAATGTGTGTTTGTGGTAATGCATTCCGACTCTTTTCCATGAGTAAAATACGGTTTTAAATACCCATACATCAAAACGTACTGCTAGAGTATAGATAGGCAACACGACCACATGAAATGTCATTTTGTGATCGAAAGGTGTCATAAATATGAAATATGATTATTCAGTCCTACACAGTGAGAACAACTGAATATTTTAGTGACTGTTGATGAGCCGACGTGCTCAGTTCAACATGATGCGGAACCCCCAGAGGATTGATCAGCAGTCTAATACTCATCGGACATCTAACATGACTAGTAACACGGTACTGCCATCTCGTGCCAACAGCCTGGCGGTTGCATCTGTGACACGTGAATCTGTGATAGCATAAAGTCACATATCTTATTCATAATGTTACAAGGTGTAAAGGTAAAACGTGTTATAAAAATAACCATGTATTCATCTTAATGTTAAGTCAAAATTAATTAAGTCAAATCGTTTGTATTATATAAATAGTCATTTTATCTGCGTCATGCAATGATTGACCGTTTTGACTTTGTTCCCGAGGGTCCCACGGCGCGAAAGAGGTGAGGTGAGGTAAAATGGGGTTTAACGTCGCGTCCAAGATTATTGCACCTATATAGCGACGTGCATGTACGTGTGTGTGTTTGTGTGGCTGCTTGTACTAGTCCGGACTGATGCCGATTTATAGTGCTAGCTCACTGAGATACCATGCCGCAGTTCAACATGAATACCCCACTCAGACACAGTATACTGACTCCGAGCCGACCAGTCCTTGTTTTAGCCCCTTAATGCCGAGCGCCAGACAGGGTAACAACAAGTACCATCTTTTAACGTCTTTTGGTATGACGCGACCGGGCATCGAACCCCGGACCTTCCGCTCTCCGGGCGGACGCTCTACCACTAGACCACGGAGGCGGTCACGGCGCGAAAGACTTCGTTCATGTTATGCATGCAATAGAAATTATACATCCAACATCTACATGTTTTATTATATATTCTGTAACAGGTGTCCTTGCCATGACAGTGTTATGTAACGTATATTACAGTTTATCAAACAAATCCTTTTCCAAACCCTAATTTAAATCCCAGGATTTAAAACATTTACCACGGTATCTGTCAGGGGCTGCTTTCAAACTAAACTGCCGGAAAAAAGAAAGAACACACACGATATGTTTCAAGAGGAAAGTGGACTCACGTTAGCATCTACTTGGGAGAACCGAGGGAATATTCAGACATGTTTACGGGAGTGGCGTGATACTGCTGATCACGTTTTTTTTACACGAACCTTGTTTCTTTTAACATGCTCGAACAAATTTAATTTGTTTTGTTTTTAAACAAGGAAAAGCACCTTTTTTCGGAAGCATTTGAATGAATGGAATAAATGAGGTGAGTTAAGTACAAATGTGAACTTTTTCAAGTTCAAATGTTGATTGTCCCAATCGTATGTTTGAAAAAACAAGCAAATGTTCCAGTATCTGAAAGTTTGAGACGATACATCATAAACTGCCTGGACGTTGAAAGTAAAGACTTGTAAATTGGATTTACAAAACACACAACAAACGTTTTCAAAACGTTACCAGGCCGAAAACAGTCACCGAGACACTGCAAAGGTTAGGTCCAAAACAACACAACTACGACACCCGTATCAAATATCTTCGTGTAGGGGGCACGGGTGGCCCAGTCGTCTAAGGCGCCGCGATTGTCTGTGCAGAGTTGCGTCCCTTGGGCACGCCAGAAACCTATGATTGTGGGTTCGAATCCCGGTTCGCCCCGATTATGTTTCTAGGTTTGCCAGCACCATACCCGTGCTCGTGGGTTTCACCGAATTGGTAAACGTCCAAGACCTGCATCACTTTGGGCTTTCCTCCCACATTAAGCTGACACGCCGCGATATAACTGGAATACTGTTAAAAGCGGCGTTAAACTCAACTCACTCACACACTCTATCGTGTAGTTGTCCGATTTTCGATCACGAACGTTGATACTACTTAATTTCGTTTATCCGACAAACTCGTTAATCCGACATAATCATATGCAACCATCCATGTCGGATTAATGGAACTTGACTGTACATCACCATCGAACAACCGTTTCTTTTTTGTTTCATTATTAGTCACCATCAAAACTAATATCTGTACCTGTCTGCACACGACGAGTCATACGAACTTGTACCTGTCTTCTGCACATGATGCATTACTTGAGTGAGTGAGTGAGTGAGTGAGTATTTTGTTTCAAAGGCCGTTTCGGGGAGTCGTTCAGTTATATCACGACATGTCAGCTTGATGTGTGATAAAAGCCCAAAGCTATGAAGGCATTAGGCGTTTTCAACATCGATGAAACCCCTGAAGCACGGGTATGATAACTGTTTGATTGGCATTCTTGAAGATGGTCAAGTTTGATGACGATATAAGAATTTACATCGAAGCGTCGCTATATGCAATAAACCAGAAGTTGTTATCCATAAAGCTGTACGTTTTCTCACGGGTATGGTGCTTGGAAACCTAGCCAAATATTCTGGACGAATCTGGAATTCAGAAACACAATCATTGATTCCTGGTACGCATAAGGGACGCAACTCTGCACAGCGAATTACAGCGATCAAACGACTCTGTCCCGTGCCCAACATATATTCGAATAAACCCTTTCATAAAATTAACCACATCATAGCTGACCGTAATGTTCTGTTCCAAGACTATTCCGATTCAAATTGCTTTTACCATATCCCAAAAAGACAATTACAGTGCGCTCCAAAAAACGTTTTCCTTACGTCTCCAAATAACACTGATAGTATCCTGTCTCAATTACCCCTGAGCATAAAAACACTCTGCTCGCACTCTCTCCGGGATACAGTTAATATGATCAGCCGAGTCAAATATATACCTATTACATTCCGATTGCAACCTTAAAATATCTCGTATCATTGATGCGAGATTTACTACGTGCAATT